ATATCGTTATATATATATATATATATATATATATATGGGAAAAGACCCTGTCAGCCCATGGGCTGACTTCTACAGTAAACGCCCACGGTCCATATTGAATATGGGCCAATCTGACAGCCATGATCTCATTTCGTATTTGAATTTTCATTTTTTTTCTACAAACCCAAATCACTTGAAATTTGGAGCGTCTATTCTTTAAAAATAGTAGAATCTAATAAAAATATAAAAATAATAATTCACAAAATATAAATGGATCAAAATACCCCGAAATGTTTTAGAAGTATTTTGGTCAATTTATATTTTGCAATTTTTTTTATATATTTTTTTATTAGGTGCACCTTGATGGGAAGAATGAACACTCCAAATTTCAAGTGATTTGGATTTGTAGAAAAAAAATTAAAATTCAAATACGAAATGAGGTCGTGACCGTCAGATCGGCTCAGATTCAATCTGGGCCATGGGCGTTTACTGTAGTAGTCAGCCCATGGGCGTATGGAATCCACTCCCTATATATCAATGCATTGAATGCACATATTTATGTTTTATAATATCTATAGATGTATTTGATACGACAACTCATATCCATATCCATATTCAACATATGCTAAGTCGTATTCCATTCTTAATATCCATGTCCATATCCCTACTCCTATCTCCGCATCTTAGATCTTAAGCCTACAACTGTTATGCCTAGGGTTTTGTAATCACTAGATGCATATAAAACTCTGTGAACACCGCATCTTTGGTTAAAAGAAGTATAGGCAGCATAAAAAGGTATCTTTTATTGACTATCAATATTGGAGACAAATATCTGTTGTGGTAAGCCTGGTTTAATGGGCCAAAGGTAATCAACATGCAGACTATGGCCACCCTAGTTTTCAGAAAACCAATATATAACACCATATGAAGAATTTTGAAGGTTAATTAATACCCAGTCCATGCTAGTAAATTACTCCGAGAAAAAGAAAAAAAGGAAGGGAAAACTCACTGCATTCAGCTAACTTTCCATCTCTTCCAGCTCGACCTGCTTCTTGGTAGTATGCTTCCAAACTCTGCAGAAAACATAAACCATTAGATCGTGGCAGATATTAGTGCAAATGTGTTATACGAATCAAGTTTTTGCGATTAAAATGTTATAGAAGGTCACTAATTGAGAACAATACATGCTTATAGGATCCCATGTTATGAGAGAGTCCTCTGATATCAGATACATAAGCAAATTGCGTACACTCCTTTGAGTTGAAAACATATAACTTCAGCAATCATTCAAATATGAAGAAGCATCAGACACAACAGAACAATGAAAAGGCTCCTTTCTTGAGAATACTATTAGTTGCAAATTAATCAAATATTAGTATATTTGAAGAAATCAAGCACACTAAAATACACACATGCATACATACATACATTTGATATAGACATGCATAACATGAGAGAGAGAGAGAGAGAGAGAGAGAGATGTTTGTAAAATTTGGATTTTGAAGGTTGTACAGGAGAATCTAGAAGATTTAGTTTAGCTATTTTGAGAGAGTGAGAGAGAGAGAGGGCGAGAGAATCTAGATATTTATTTTAGCTATTTTGAGGGAGGGAGAGAGAAAGAGAGAGAGAGAGAGAGAGAGAGAGAGAGAGAGACAATACATACAAACCGTGTCGGCCACGACCATAGTAGAATAGTACTTCTAACGAACTATTGTACTTGTACAATCGACCCACTTACCAAAGCTATTGTTGACTAACAACCACCTAGAACTTACAATT